TCCGCATGAAGGTCAACTTTCTTCGACTTTGATTACTCATTGGCTACAAGGGAAGCAAAGTGAAGCGGACGTAAACTAATGTCCATTTTTCATAAGGGCATCCAAGGACACGAAAGTGTTATTTGTATACAAAAATTGGCGCACAGGGATGGTAAAAGTTTGCACAAATTTGAATAGCAAAACAATGGGAATCCAGAGGTTTCGTATTGCTAATGCTTAGGCTCCACCGCACATAAACCCGTAATTCCTCAACGCATTAGTCCTCAGCGGCTAAAATGAATCCCAAAACTCTATCTGTGAAACGCATTCCGGAGCTGCCTTCAAGCGGTTTTATTCGGGAGGTCAGGAGCTAATGAATTACTTCAAATACCCGGCTTTGTGCTAATCATACACAACTAAGCCTTTTTAACTACCTCTTAGGATTGCACTTTTGACACTTGTTAAATACAGCGTTATAGAACAGGTTAGATATGTGGTGAATTAGTAAACAAAAACAAGTTACAAATAAACAAAATAAAAATGTCTTTGATGTGGCCACTTGGGCGCGTAGAGCAACGTGAGATTTCAGGAACGCCGATACATTACCCCCAGTAATGAGATATTTCGTGCCACACATCAGAACAAAATACATTTATGTGATTTCCCCCCAACTTGAAGTTTCACGCATTTGAGAAAACCACCCAGTGTGAGTTGCGTAGGGAGGGAGGGAGGGAGCGCAAAACGACAAGGGCACTTTTATTTGTGCTTACGTAACACTTGCAACGTCTTGCAGCAGTAGCACCTCAAACACAATGACCGCTATTAACTGCTCATGAAACCTGAGATGTCTTTGGTGCAAACTATTTTACTTACATTATTCGGGTCTCTGACTGTTAGTCATCATTATTTTCATGGTCTCATTGGACGAGTATGATTTAATGGTCGACCATTATGAATGATTCCCTTTTCACAACAAACCACCAATAGTTTGTGTCTCTCTCGAATGTACGTCACTCCCTACACCATATTTATCTGCTATTCATATATCACTGATTAATTTCCTTTCCCTAATAGAGCACGTATCAAACTGTGCCTATGGGAGGTTTTAGTCAGAACTGCTTCCCTTGGCCTTGACCTAACATACCTCAGGTGCAGCCATTTCAGTGCAAAAGGTAAATATGTGTAAAGCTAGCGAGCACTACACTCTTAGGTTACCATTTAGCTGTGTGCCCAAATAAAGACCCTTAAGAGATCCAAGATCTACTGATTAAGCCCGCAGACACAGAGTATTAATATGTAGACTTATTCAGGTTATATTTTATGTTCAGTTATTGCAATGTAGAAACCCATGCAAAATTATTTTCGACTTCATTCGAACGGCCAGACAATAGAGGCCACTTGATATGTGCTAAAATTGTTGATTTCGGACTTAGGTCAACGAGTCAAAACGCTCTTCCAGTTTAAAAAATCTCGCGCCTAAGAAAAGCAAATAAATTTACACATCAGCAAAAACCAGTTGTAAAATTTTGAAAAAGAATTTTTTTTAGATTTTTGGGAGAGCAAAAACCTGCATTCTTCTGCAATAATTTCCACCACGAACGTAAACATGTCTAGTATCTTATTAGAGAGGGAAATTTAAAATAAGGTTCCAATTAACAAGCACTTGGAAAATTCGTTTGCAACACAAACCGACCCCGTTGAATCCAAGTAGACCGGCAAAAAAGATTTGCCATTTCTACCAGCTAGTGTACAAAGCCGAACGCTTAAGTTAAATAATATAATTTGGTTCATATAAAACCCAAGCGATGCGACAAACAAATTAGTGCTGGACCGAGCCTTTTAATCGGTGGTGCTTCCGTCGCCCATGTCACAAAAATCGTCCATCGTAACAAATCGATTAAAAAATGTTACGATGCGCGTTAGTATCCGTAATGCCAGAGTTATTGGGTGAACACAAAGCAGTCAGCTAAAACATCGCTTAAACCCCGTTTTGGCATTGCATGTCAACACGTCTTTCCAGTGATAACACACATGCGTGGGAGACAAAGAAAAAAAGATTTAACCGAACTGCGCCACCTCACACACACACGCTATCTCCATCTGCTACTGATTAGGCAACTTTAACAATTTGGTTACAGGACTTAAATAACCGCTTTGTCCACGTAGAGCGTCATATCTTATAAAAACTTACGCAGCAACTAGTAATACATCGATGCCTTGACCTTCAAATACCACCACCTCAAGTCAAATCAGAACCACATTTTCGGAGTAGACACGCAGAGTAAAACAACGCACCGTGAGGTTATTTATGTGACTGCACTAACAACGATTCTGTTCTTTTTTAAACAAAATATACACTTTGTTTCTTTTAAAGAAAATCACACAACTTACCTCCACATTGCTTGCGTCATCTGATAGCAAGATAAAGATTTCCTCCAACGACGTGTCGGTTAGTCCTATCTGATTCACACCAAACTCCTCCGACAATGTGCTTTTGTTGGCCTCCAGGTATGTGAACAACTTCACAAACCCATCGGCGTCGTAAGCTCGGGTGGCGGGGAGTGTGAAAATCCACTCCGTTGGAGTGGATACCGCGAGCTCTGACCCAGGCAGGTGGGCTGCAACCCTTTCAGTGAGTTTCGCGTCTGCTGTGTAGTCGACTCCTCCATTGCCTGCTTTCTCCACGTTAAGGTAGTAGTTTTTTGCGAATTTGGACTTCAGGAAAAGGCTCGAACCACTGGCTTTTAAGTGCCCCTGTGAAACGATGGCGATCCGGTCACCAAGAATGTCCGCTTCATCCATGTGGTGTGTTGTCAGAATGATGGTCCTTGAGTGCTTAAAACGAAAGATGAAATTCCAAATGGAACGACGTGACGCAGGGTCCACGCCCGCCGTGGGCTCGTCCAGAAAAACTATCTTCGAACCGCCTACAAACGCTGCAGCCAAAGAAAGTTGCCTCTTCTGTCCTCCTGACAACGTCTTCACACGATCATTCGCTTTCTCCTTCAAACCGAGCTCAACGAGGAAATGGCCTACCTCGGCGTCTACCTCAGCTCGCGAAAGACCTTTCAGGTAACCGTAAAAACGAATGTGCTCGGCAACGCTCATGTTACTGAACAGAACATTGTGCTGCGGGCATAGACCCAGGTGGTGTCTTATTGCAGGCATTCCCGTGTTTATGTCCTTCCCGTAGACATAAGCAGTACCAGCTGAGGCTGCAGAGATACCAGTCAGAATTGATATCGTCGTAGTTTTGCCCGCCCCATTGTGCCCCAGAAAGGCTGTTATCTGATTTTCATAGAAATCCACCCACAAGTTGTCCAATGCAGCAACCCTTTTCCTTCCGTAGTACTTTGTTAGCCCGCGCACTGAAACACCCACAGAGAGACTTTTGCTGGCGACTTCATGGAAGCCTGGGTCTACATCGGCAGGCTGTGGCTGAAGTCCCTCTGCTTCTTTAGGACGAAAACTATGCTTGAATACCTCCAGCCAGTAAGATTTTGTGAAAGGAAAGTACCACTTTCGACTGAAGCCAAGAGAACCTGACACAACGTTCTCAAGATACCAAATCCCAATCCAGGCAAGTGCACCATCCACAAGCAGCATTAGCAAACAGAGACCCACAGAAAAGGAATCATTCGACAAATCATTTAACCACAGAGTCTTCCACTGTCCGCCGATTCCTTGAACCTCAAACGACATCAACCTCGAAAATGTCATCGCAATGGTGCACTGGGGCAAAAATGAAAGGACCAAAAGAGGCACGAATCCAAGGTCATAAATGAGTATGAGGTTGTAAGGAATGTAAAATATGATATAAAGAATTCCTGAGAAAACTGCACCAAAGTTAGCATTGTTGAAAAACACAGTCGTGAGAAAGGCTTGAGGTAGGATTGCTAAGATGTAAGCGATGAAACAACAGAAGAGCAGAAAGCCCTCCGTCCGTGGCAGCACCTGTCCATATTTAAGCAGAATCGTGACAACGACGCTGGAACAGCCCATCATTATGAAGCCCACAGTGAACCAATTCAACCAGTGGACTGAATTGCCCATTCCCATCACCTTTGTAAACTCCTTCAAATGAAGCTCCTTTTCGTAAACAACAGCACGGACATTTATAACGTAGTTGCACAACCAGATTACAACAACCATTAGAGGAATATTTACTACGAAAATACGCAACATGGAATCAACCTGGTAACAGGGTCCTGGAACAAATTGCATTTCTGTGGGAAGGAAGTCATTAGCGTAAGGGTCTTTTGGAGTAGTAATCTGGGATAGGATAGCAACATAAGCTCTTTCCACTTGATCCTGAAGGTCGATAAACCCACTTGTAAAATACTTCATCGAGTTGCTTGTACGATAGCGTGGATCCGGAGACCAGTACTTGTCCAATACGTTGAACCCACGTGTAGAGTCAATCATAGAGGGTGGAAAACGAAATTGCATCGAAAGCATTTTGGGGGATTCCTCAAATTCGATTGCATAAACCTGCATCCCATCTTTCGTTGCCTGCTCAAGGGCCTCGAACATGACTGTCTGGTTGTCAAAACCGCGGAATCGATCGTAGGTTATGCAGTTTTGTAGCACGTCATGAATAGCATTGGACACTAGGTCAATTGATGGAACCAAGTCAGTCCAGTGTGTGTCATTTCCCGAAGGTGTTTTCCCAAGGAACGAAACTACTCGACGACACTTTTCTCTAACATCTGGAGACAAATTCTGGTTTATTCGACAAATATTAGCTGCCAATCGTACCGCCTTGGCCAGAGAACTGTTTACAAATACATGTGGTACTAGCGCGTCCTTCTGTGTCATCCACTCCTCCACAATCGCTCGTAGTCGGGAAAACATGACCGCGGTGGTGTTAGCCTTCTCCACGATTTCCTTCGTCATGGTGGTGTTGGGAAAGAAATATACCTCACTCTGCATCGCTGCCCTCAGCCGTGAGGTCCAAGGTCGTGCTGTGTCAAAACGGAAAATTGAATTTAGCACTGAACAGGCAGTCTGGGGCTTCGATTCATTATGTGTGGTGTTCTGTGTCAGATCTTGTGTGATTCCCTTGGTCGACATTCCAAGGCTACTTAGGGTGCCTCTCAAAAAATCGAGCGCTTCTAGATAACTGTTTGATCCCACATGGCTTCCACAAAGCAAAATCGAGCCCTTACGCACCTGCTCAACCAGTAGACTAAC